AACTGGAATTTCTATATAGAAACTGAATTCCTCCCCCACCACCTCCAGTCCTGGCCAGGTTTGTTCCTCTGCAGGTGACCTTTTAAAGGCTGTTCCCTTCAGCAAGGCAGCAGGAAAATGCCACTTGGAGTATCCAGCATCTGCCACAGGAGCTGGTGGAGCATCTCAGTTTGCTGCTGTTAATTTAACCCATAGTTGGCAGCTCAGCTGTAGAGCAGAGCCTCTGTCCACCTTCTTCAGGGCTTGCTGCTCCTGAACTGCTTGGAGCAGATCTCTGTGAGGCCCTTGGATGTAGAGGAACAGGAGGGAGGCTGTCTTAAGCACCCCATCATGGAACAACTGCAGGAAGTGAGATTCTGCTCCAGGAAGGGGTCTGTGGAGCATCCCTGATTCCAAGTTTGTGCAGTTCATCCTGCTGAGCCTGATCCTCCTCACTGCTGAATCGACAGACCTGGGGTGGTGACCCATCCTGCTCATGGAATCTCAGATCCCTCAGTTATGTCTGTGGCATCTTTTGAGTCTTGTCCCCTCTCTAGGCCTCTGAGGAGAAGATCAGGACAACAGAGACGCAGGTGCTGGTGGCCTCTGCCCAAAAGAAGCTCCTTGAAGAGCGGCTGAAGCTCATCTCCGAGCTGTGGGATGCTGGAGTCAAGGTATGACCCACTGATGGCAAAGTCAGGAGCTGCCTGGCCCACTCTCTGTGCCAGGAATGGACCAGATCTGGCTTTGCTTTGGGAGGAGGGAGTTAAGAGGGAGCAGCTGGGGGCAGACTGCCTCTCCCCAGTGTCCCAAATCAGGTGCTCTCCAGGAAGGGCTGGGCAGCAGGGCTTGGTTAGTCCTGTTCAGCTGCAGGGCTGCTCTGTGTCTGGTGTCTCAGGATGGATTCCCAATGGGCACACTGCCTTCATGAGGGGAGGGGAATGTCTCAGTGCTCTGCTGGGCTCCTGGGCCTGTAGGGACACCCCAGTGACGTGGACTGGAGCCACATCCACATGTCTGTTGACACCCCTTCAGGGATGGTGATTCCACTGCTGCCCTGGACAGCCTAAGCCAGGGCCTGACCACCCTTTTTGGGGAAGAAATTTTCCCAACATCCAACCTGAACCTCCCCTGGCACAACTTGAGGCCACTTCCTCTTGTCCTGTCCCTTGTTTCCTGGGAGCAGAACCCCCCCCTCCTGTCAGGTTGTTGCAGAGAGCAAGAAGGTCCCCCCTGAGCCTCCTTTTCTCCCCCAGCTCCCTCAGCCCCTCCTGGTGCTCCAGACCCTTCCCCAGCTCCGTTCCCTTCTCTGGACACTCTCCAGCCCCTCAAAGTCTGTCTTGTTGTGAAGGGCCCTGAACTGGACACAGCCCTGGAGGAGCCTTAGCAGGACCAGCACAGGGGGACAGACATTGCCCTGCTCCTGCTGGCCACACTATTTCTGATACAGACCAGGATGCCCTTGGCCCTCTGGCCCACCTGGGAACACTTGGGCTCACGTTCAGCCACCGTCAAACAACACTCCCAGGGCCTTTCCCCCTGGGCAGCTTTCCAGCCACACTGCCACAAGCCTATGGCTCTGCAGGGGTGGTTGTGGCCCAAAGAGCAGGACCCAGCACTTGGCCTTGTTAAACCTGGTGCCCAGCCTTCTCCCTGAGCCCATCCTCTTCCCACCACACAACCACAGGCTCACCAGACCAGACCAGCAGAGCCTGGTTGAGGGGGTGCAGTGGAACAGCCCAGTTTGATGACGGTGTTGTGTCCTGGTTCTCTCCCAGGCAGAGATGCTGTACAAGAAGAACCCCAAGCTGCTGAACCAGCTGCAGTACTGTGAGGACACGGGCATCCCTCTGGTCGCCATCGTGGGCGAGCAGGAGCTCAAGGATGGAGTTGTCAAGCTGAGGATTGTGGCAACCAGGGAGGAGGTGAGGCCTGTGGCAGCTTTGCCACAGGGTGATGGGCTATGTGACCCTTCAGCCCAGCTCAGCCCAGCCCTCCAGACCCAGTGGGCTTCCCAGCAGCTTCTGTAATGCCTCACATTCCAGTTCCTTGCCCTGTTGCAGCTTCCTGGACCTATGGAGAGCTGTTGTCTCCAGCTCTGGAGAGTTTTCTGTCCTGTGGTCTCCCTGAACTCCCAACAGGAGCCTGGAGCATGGAGGGGGGATTCAGTGAGCTTTTTGTCCACGATGCAGGACCATTTATGAAGGTCCTGGAGGTGCCCTCTTAGAATGAGTGGGAACGAGCAGGACTTGTAACCCTGTAACACTGTAGGGCTGCTCTGTGCCTGTTATCTCAGGACAGATTCCCAAAGCAGGCAGCACTGGAACCAGGGCACAGGTCACTGGCTGGATCACTGGCTTTGGAACCAGTAGGAAAGAGTGGGAAGAGCACTGCCCTCCCAACCACTGGTCAGGAGAGGGCTTGTTGGGATTGCAGGCAGGTTCCTGCTTTTACAGGTTCAACTCTTCTGGGTCCTGCAGCCCATTCCATCCCCACAGAGGGGCTGGTGACACCCCGGGGTGACCTCCCGAGACACGGGGCCACGGCTGCGGTGGCACATCAAGCTGCTGGAGTTGTGTTGAACCAACTTTGTGCTCCCCCCTGTGCAGGTCAACATCCGCAGGGAGAGCCTGGTGGAGGAGATCAGGACGCGAACGAGCCAGCCTTAAACCCCTCCGGGACACATCTGCTCCTCGGTTGGATTCTGGCTGACAGATTTCCTCCTGTAAATGCCTTGGCCGGGCTGTGCAGCAGCGGGTGGGGGGTCGGGGGGGGCGTTGAAAGCTGTATTTATTCTTGTCTCATGCCCTCCCTCCCCCTGCGGGAGCAGAGGCGGTGCCGACTCCTGCGCCCTGCCCTGGCCCTCGAGAATGTCGCTGGGAAGACGTGGAGGTGGCTCTGACAGACCCCTCTGCCGCAGCGACCCGTGGAGCCCCAGCAGACCCCGGGGGGCTTGGCTGCAGCTTCTTGTTCCCGTCGCGTTGAATAACCATCCCGGCCCGTCTGGCTGCAGGGCGGTGACCTTCTCCCCAGCAAAATGTAACGGCGCGGCTCCCGGAAACATAATAAATCTGTCTGTCCCCCGCCGTGACTCCTGTCCCTGCTCGCCGCTCGGGGCAGCGATTTGCTCACCTGCCTCGCTGAGCCGGAGCTGGTTTTTAAAGGTCACTGTGGCTGTCGCTGCAGCCCCGATGTTCCCTCCTGCCTCCGCAGCCCCACGCTGCTGCCAGACCGTGACAGGTCCCCCCGGAGCCGGCGGGAGCTCCATGAGCAGCTCCCCCTGCCCCGCTCATGGGTGGGACGGGTCCCCCCAGTGCCCCGGGGTGCCCCCCCGCCCTCCTCGCTGCTGACCCACACGTCTGGCCGGGTGTCCCCAAATCAGGGCAGTTCTAAACCCGCGTGGACGGAGCGCGGGGGCCGCTCCTGACAGAGAGGGTGGGCGCGGGTCCCGCACCCCGTCCGAGGCGGAGCGGGGAGAGCCGCTGGGACCCTCCACACCCCATCCCGAGCAGCGG